CCCCCCCCCCCCCCCCCGCCGAGAGGGGACCGCCACTGCCTGCTACTCCTCGACCCTGGGTTGTCCTTCTTGCTCTGGTTGACCAGACTAGGAACTGGGAGACACATTCCTGTCTTCTCAGTTCTTCCTACCTTGATGAGGCTCTTTCTGGTTGAGGGACAGCCATTCCCCACCTCGGGAAGCGCAGGTCGTCCTCAGTTATACCCGCCGTTCACAGCACCCGGAACCTGCTCTTCCTTGCGTCCCTCAGCTCAGCTGGTCGCGCATCCCCTTATGCAGTGAACTCTAGGCTTTATGACAGTGGGGACCTCTCCTGTCTTGGCGATGCTGTAATCTCAGTGCCTGACACAGCGCCTGGCACCTAGGAGATGCTCAACAAATATTTTGGAGATCAAATATTGAGGCATCTGCTTTATCCTATATTCTTTCTCAGTTGACAAGTTCTTTCTTTCAATGGCTTTTCCTGCCCACGATGAGCTGGAGGAATTAGCTAGATCAGGGGTGAAATTTGTTGCCAAGGCCAGAGGGCTGGGCTGGGAAAGGTTTCCTTCCCCTTCTTGGGGGAGCAGTGGGTGTTTTGTGAGACATACTTGGGGATTTAGATTCCTCTGAGAAATCAGAGCAAGAAGCATGGGCCTGTTGCCTTGGAGAGGGGTTTGGAGAGGGGCCAGGCCTGAGGGCCAGGCCTTTCCAGATGACTCAGGAGCCACCTGGCTCTGTGGGCCAGACAGAAGCCATGCCTGAGACAAGAAGAAGAAGACAGCGAGATAGTTTCTCTCTGGGTTAATATTTGTACCTAAGATGTAAATGTTAGACCACTTTAAAGGGACAGCAAATGCAAAGAGCATGATGTCCCTCGGTCTAGGCCCTGAGGCCATTAGGGCTGAGCCACGATGCCCACATCGGGATTTCCTTTGAGTTGAGTGTGATCCCCACTCTCCTTCCATACAGAGAGCAGGATCTGATCATAAACTTAAACAAGTATGGAGCCTGCAAACTTGCTCGGTACTTGCAAACTCAGACCAGCACTTCAGTGAACCAAAAAGCAACATAAATTCCGCTAACATTTAACCCTGTGCTGGACGCTATGCACATATAAGAGATTAAAAACACATTGTTCCCTCAAGTAGCTTAAACTAGAGTGGGCTGGATCTTTGTCTGAAATTTGCAGAAAAACACTCAGCAACATGTGTTCCCACTAAGTTCATTAACTCAGAACACATCTGGATCATCAAAGTAGATGCAGATTGAAGCCAGTGTTTGGTTTCACTGGGCTCCTTTCAGTGGCCCCATTCCCACGAGTAGGGCTGCACCCGCTTTTATAAATATGGGGGCATCTGGGCAAGAATGAAGCTGGTGCCCAAATAGGTCTGCATATGGTCCATCTGAAGATGGCCTGAGAGGGATCCACATGCCACCAAGGTGATTCTTGCTTTCTGTCTTCACTTTCTTTTGAGGCGGGTAGGAAGAGGGTCTTGGCAAGCCATCGTCATCACCCAGCTTCCTCTGGGATGCACCAGCAGTCTGGCCAGGTATTTCTTAAATGTGCCCCCAGCTGAGGAGAAGTCTCTACCTCCCCTTCCTCCTCCCCTGGGAAGAGTACCCGAGGAAGAGATCCTTAATGACCAATCCAGCCTCTTTGCTGAGCATTCTCTTCACTGACCAGCTCTCCATTCCCCTGAGCGCTGGGGCCCTTGTCCAGCTTCGTGGGATGAACACTGAGTGTACATCAGGGAAGATGCTTCCCTGCCTAATGATTCCACCCTCCCTAGGGAAAGCCCACCCTCCGCCAACAGGTCCTCTCTTGGGACAGCCAGGTTTTCCTGTGCAGCTGAGCTACCTTCCATTTCAACTAATAAATAACGCTTTTTCAATGGACAAGCTCCGTCTTTTAATGAAACAGGCTTTCCCTGCCCTTAATGAGGACAGATCTATTAGGAAGGGATCACAAGGCTATAGAAATTAGCCGGAAGTGAAGGGCAAAACTCGTTGCCATGGCCAGAATGTAATGCCTCTAGGAGCCCAGGAAGGCACTCTGCCCCAGCATCTGCCCCTCCTGGATGGAAGAGTCAGGCCTGGCACATTTGCCCAGATGCCCCCACGATCTGGTTCTAAGGGTCCCCTTCCAGGATGGGATGGTGGCCCTGACATGCACAAACCTACCCAATTGCATCGTTGCCTGTGAACTTTTTTTTTTTTTCATTAAACTTTTTATTTTGAGATACTTTTAGCTTCACAAGCAGTTATAAGAAATAATATAGAGACATCCCATGTACCCAGTTTCTCCTAACAGTAACATCTGCAAAAGCTATACTACAGTATCACGGCCATGATGTTGACATTGCCACATCCCCCAAGTTTATCAGATTCCCCAGTTTTGCTTGTACTCGTATGTGTGTATATGTGTTTAGTTCTATACAACCCTATCACACGTGTAAGATGTGTCAAGATACAGAGCTAGTCTACCACCACGAGAACCCTTCCTATTGTCTTTTATAACCACACCTCCCTCCCCTCCCTGCCCCTCTCCCGTCCCTAACCTCTGGCAACCACTAATCTGTTGTCTGTTTCTATAATTTGTCATTTCAAGAATGTCATACCAGTGGAATCATACAGTATGTAACCTTCTGGGGCTTTTTTTCATTCATCATAATTCCTTTGAGATTCATCCAAGTGGTTGGGTGCATCAGTAATTTCTTCCTTCTTATTGCTGTGCCTGTGGTTTTAATCATTAAGCGGTACTGCATCCCAACATGGCACCAAGGCCCAATTACATAGCCTCTGCGACATGATCCTCAAGGATCTTTTACTCTGTGAGAGATAATAGGTTTTGGTTGGTGTTTTCTGAGTGGGAAAAAAACGAAACAAATCCAGGTACAGGCAAGCATATTTCGGTTTGTTTCTTTCTTTCCTAACACAGTGGCCAGTTGGGTCGCAGTTCCCTTTAGCATCGGTTGACAGTTCTTTCTTGTGTCTTCCCACCTCCCGCCTTTCCAGGAGCACATCTACAAGCTGATGAAGAGTGACAGCTATGCCCGCTTCCTCCGGTCAAATGCTTACCAGGACTTGCTGCTCGCCAAGAAGAAGGTATCTGCGAAGGGCAGCCTTGCCTTTCTTAGCACTGTTGACCTTTGCCTGCTGCTTGCTGCTGGTGTGAAATGAGAATGTCATCCCTTGGGTTTTATTTCTTTTCTCTTTTCTTCTTTCCCTTCTGTACCTGGTCCCACTCCAACAGAATATAATTAGGATTGTCACCACATCAGCCCCCCCACAAGGTCCAGGGTGTGGCATCCTGTCTCCCTGGACCCATCATCTCCATCTGTGTGTCCTGCCCACAGTGGAGAGTGTGACCAAATTCTGAGGCCGCAGTGGCTCAGCCCAGGAGTACAGGGCTGGCAGTGACATCAGCCAATCCCTTAGGAAACCACTGAAGAGTCCAGCCCCCTCCCCACAGATTTTCTGTCCCCGACCAGCTCAGAGATGAGTATGAGGCAAGGATTGGGGCGCCCCCCTCTGGATAGAAACGCTTATAGGTTTCTGGGGGGCGATCTGGCACCCGAAGTCCTTCCTGGGGTGGTTGCCCCTCCCTCTCCCTCACCTGCCCCACAGCATTTGCTTTTTCTTTTAACCAAGAAGTAACGGCATCCTAGCTCCTTCCTCCTCCTCCACTCTGAATGAAGTCCTGGTTCCCTGTGGCCCTCAGTGTCTGGATTTTGGGGGCGCAGGGAACCTCAGCATGCAGGCGGTGGGAAGCGACTGAGGCAGGGATGAACTCAGCTGGGTTTCTCGGGGGAGGGAAGGAAGAGCCAGGAGGGACATGGGGTCTGGAAAAGGGGAGGCAGGAGGGACGGCTTAAGGTTCCAGCATGCCTGCGAACGCTCTGCACGTCTCGGTTCTCATCTGAGGCCCACGTGTGGTTAACGGGGCCCTCCTTGCACCAAGTCCCGGGACTCCCGTGCCATGCCGCTTAGGACCATGTGCATCCCTTTCTTCTCCCTCTCAGCCTCCCGGCAGCAGTCCCTGAGCCTGCTGTCTGTCGGGCTTCCTCTCTCAGCCACACAGCCCCTCTTTCTGTGTACTGTGACCTCACGTGCCAGCATCTTGTCTGCATATCTGGCTGGTCCCACATCACTCCCGAGTCTAGAAGAGCATTTATATCCTGCTTGCCTGCCCTTAGGTAGCCCTGAGGACATCCCCAAGAGCCTGAGAAAGAGAAGTAGACTTTGGGGACTCCCAGAGTGTGAGGAACCCAGCTTTCTTGTCGGCCTGCATCCCTTCCATCAGGTGTCACTACTACGATGGAAAATGTGAAGCCTGACCTCCAGCCCGCTCCCTTGCCAGAGGGTGGAGGTGGAGAGGCCCTGATGCAGCTGGCTGACATCCCCACCAGTAATGGCTCTGATACCCAGTTTTTCAAGAAAAGTGGAGACCTTTGGTGCCTCCAGCCCAGATCTCAGGGGAGAAGGCAAAGTAATTGTTCCTTATTTCTTGCGGCTCAAGACCCTGAAGTGATCCCGGTGTGGGGAAATTGTGAAGAAACCAGAGGCCATTCAGTCTCCCTGTGGGTCTGAGCACAAAGGGAAAAAGCACCCCAGCACAGGGAGTGGGGCTGAGATTCCACAGATCATCCCGTACGAGGAAAGCTTCTCGGAGGAGGTCACTTGAATGAGGAAGGAACGGACGGCCTGCCTGTAAAATGTCACAGATGAAGTTCCTTAGAATTATCCTTCCAGCCCCTACACCAAGGAGTGTCCTTGGGGCAGAAAGCTCTTGCAGATGCCAAAGCCCTTTCAATATCCAGGGGTTAGTTTTTTCCAAAGTCAGCGACAAGCCAACTTTTCTTCCATTTCTCCCTGAGTCTCCAGGCATGGACTGGATTTGTAACTCGGCACTTCCAGGTAGGCCTAGAGTGTCTTCTGATGTCAGGGATGGGCTTACCATGCGATCTACATGTCCAGGTCATGAAGAGATGTGAGCCACAAGCTCCAGCTAAGAGGAGGGATGTAAATCGGCCTCACTTTTCTGCTCAGGAAGGCTCCTGATGGAGTCTGGAAGCATAGCCTTCCAGTCCTTCCTCCCTAATTCCTCCTCTATCCTAGTATTTTCAGAGATCAGGTTAGTTGTTCTGATGAGCCAGGTCTCAAGGGCAGGTGAGCTGGGTCTTGAGGGGCCCCTCCAGAACACTCAGGTACCAGTACTCAAGTACAATTTTCCAGGGCAGCTCGGAGGACCTGTGCAAGGCAGAGGAACCCGAATAAGTCAGGCCAGTGGCCACTCTCTGTGGGCAGCAGCTCAGGAGCCAAGGGACAAGAATGCCAGGCGCAGAATGCCAGCTGCGGGGCCTAGAACTGGCCTGACTTGAGCTGCACAGACAGCCCCCGGGCTGCCCACTGGATTGAAGCTGAGTCCTGCCGTCCCCAGTGGGGAGGCTCAGTATGGTGCCAGGCCAAGCACGGATCCTTCAGTTCCCTGTGCCTGAAGGAGAAAGACCAGCCTGGCTCTGCGGTGGTGTGTCCTTTGTATTGTGTCTTCCTTCTGCAGCATCCTCTCTGTCTCCCGGCAGCCAGCTGAGGGGATGGGGCATGACAGCCAAGGAGGCCCTCTGACCGTGTCCACACCCACAGTGGCTACCTTTGGCCCCCTCTGCTTCCAGCACATCCTGCAGACCCACAGACACCTGGCTGCTTCTTCAGCTCTCTAGTTTCCATTATTTGCTGTGTGTGTGTCCACGTGAGCGTGTGTGCTCTCCGGACTTCCCAGGCATGGATTCAGGACCTTGGAACTGGGCTCTGGGATAAACTAGCAGGTATTTGGGATGTAATTCTCCCCCCTTGGAAAAGCAGGAAAGTTGAGGAGAGGGTCAGGTCCACACCACACCCCTTCCTCCTCCACTAGAGAACAGCCAGGCCTGGGGGGAGCGTCCAGGGGCTTCCCCCTGTGTGGGGGGACCCTCAGCCTGGAGTCCCTGGGAGGTTCCTGAGCCTGCTGTCACCTGCCGTGAGTAAACCTTGGAAGGGGTCACCTGCCCGAGTACCAAGAGAGCATTTTCTCTCCAGAACGCTCCTTCTGAGGCCCAAGATCTTTGTGGTTGCAAAAGACCTTGGTAGAGCCTCCTTGGTCTAAGGACACAGGACGAGAGTCACTAGGGGTCACGAGGATGTTGAGGAACTTAACAAACTTTCTGGCTGCATCTGAACAGAAAAATCTCAGAGAAAGTCCTAACCCAGACTCATGGCGGAGTTGATGACTTCACCTCGCCCACGGCCACTTCGGCCGTCTCAGCAGGATTCCCCCACAGGCCCCGCTGGCCCTGGAAGCTCGTCTGGTTTGTGTCCCCCGTTGGGGACCCCAGTTGGCTCCTGCGCGTGGGCTCGGCCGCTCAAAAGCAGTGAGCAGGCAGCTCCAAACTGCTGACCAAGGGCCCGGCTCCCAGCCCAGTGGCTCCTACTTCAGCCCCGAAGCACGATTAATGGCTCTTCTAGAAGCGAACACCCCTCTCTCCTCACAGCTCCAGGGAGGCTCTGTTTTCCCTCTCTCCCACTGACTGTTGCACACAGCTCTGGCTGCTTCTCTTGTCCTGTTTTTTTTTTTTTTCTCCCGCCCTGTCTTGCTTTTGTTTTGGTTCATTAGCTGCCGCTGCTGCTCTTGGGGAACGATGTATAAGCTGAAGATTTTTTTTTTTTTTGTATTTTTCTCCCTTTTTTTTTTTTTTTTTTTTTTTTCCCCTAAAGCCAGAAAGTGAGCAAGGTCGTAGAACTTCCTTAGAAAAGTTCACTCGCAGTGTGGTAAGTTCAGCCGGTTTTCTTTGGTCGTTGTTTTTCTCTGTTTTATTTTCTGTTTGTACAGTGGTGATTATTGTCGTTTCCTTTGGGATGGGAGGGAGCCCAGTGCTTTCCCCTCAACACACCCACCCGTTTTCTTTTGCAAGGGTCGAGGGTCAGCCGCTTCTCTCCTAGGGATGGATCTGCAAAAGACAAAAGGCCCGGCGGCTCCCTCTGCAGACGGTGCACGGGGCAACCGCCCAGCCTCGGGCCTGGCATTTGATCTTCTGTCTGTGGCCTTGAGGAGGAAGGACCCCCACCCGCCCCCCCCACCCCGCCCTCGAGGCAGCTTCGGTCG